CTGTAAAATCAATGATATACCATTATAATCGATTAAAAAATTAATTTAAAAATAAAGTTTCGGTGAAGTTTGAAAATTCGCTTATGTAATAGTACGGAATAAAATAGTTAAGATATTAAAAGTGCAAGAAACTAAAACTTTTTCCAAACAAATACTAATGTTGTCGATACCTTAAATATTAAACTACAAAGTATATTGTTATTGACAAAGTCATAATCCACAAAAGAAAAAGAAAAAAAAACAAAAAAAAAAAATGGGTGGAAAGATAAGAGAAGTTAATTTTAATTTTTAAACATTAATAATTAAATTAAACTTCATCGTATAAGATTATCGACTACTAACTATTCAAAATAATTCGACAGCATCGCGTAATTAAGTATTGCATTAGTACAATTTTCTTTTTAATTTGCTTTATCGTAAGCAAATATTTTTAAGCTCAACTATCGGACACTAAGGCGAATATCAAATATCAAATTTGAAATATTTTTGGATATTCTTCACACACTCGTTTATTTAATTAAGCAAATTGTGTCAATTTCATAACAATTATATATTATGTTATTTGGAATGAAGTTAAAAAACAAATACCAATACAAATATTAAATATCATAAGAAAAACTGTTTTACATCAACTCGGATAAAAAAATCTCAGTTTTATGTATATATAATGTAGTATATTAATAAAAGATGGAATGTGATTTTTTTTTTTTTTTAATATAAATTCTACAAACGTTCATGCATAAAAAGTCAAGTTTCGAGTTTTCTTGCAATTCATGATTATAAGAATATGTTTTGGCTTATTTTTTGTTATTCCATCAAATTATCGAGCTTTCTAGTATATGAACATAACTATGACATATTAAATTTACGCTGTTTTGAAAAAATTTATATTCATAGTACTTTATTGATTAATTTTTAATTCTGCTTATATAATGCAATTGTTTATATGTTATATATAGTTAATTTATAATAATATATAGCAATAGTTAATAATAAATAATTACGAATGAATTTTTGTATCTTAATAGCTTATTGAATAAATTTTAAAAATACGGTAAGGTCATGCACATGATTAAACTCATAATTAATTTCGTAAATTTAATAGTATTTTTTTAGCGTAGATCTAGTAATTGATAAATAAAAATGGAATCTCTGCGTAGCATATTCACAAATGAAGTAATAACACAATCTTTATTATACAAGTGCAATATTGGTCATAAAATAAAGAACTGTAGGATTCAAATGGTTATGATGCAATTATCGATTGAACTTTTTTTTTTTTTTTTTTTAATCTTCCGCTTGTGCTTATTAGTCAATGATATTTTCGTTAATTATTCACCATTAATAAAATATGAGAATATCGTATAAATATTCGGCAGCTACTTTGACAGATTATCATTAATATTAGCTGTTATTATTATTGGTCATGATAGCACGTCTTTTGTAACTTTGACCGACAGGAGAATCTATCGCAAGGCAACATTGGCTTAAGTATGCATTTAAATTTACTTTGAGAAGCCTTATGGATGGAGGTCTTTGTAAGTTAAGAATCGCCTGAACGATGTAATTAAAAATAAAATTATGTTAAATCTAAATTATGAAAAGAATATAAATCGATTTTATTTGCTACTTATAGTTATTAATATATATATATATATATATATATATATATATATTTATTTATTTATTTATTTATTTCAAAAGGTTTTTAGAAAGAAATTTAGCGTTGATAGCATTATTCAATAGTACGTATTACAATTATTATATAATAGTTTAATAACTCTTATAAAATTATAATATTAGAATCATTCGTTCCAATTGTCAGACGTTTTCTTATCGTAGTTGTGCGTAGTAAATAATATAAAAATATCAAGTACATTGTACCAGCACTAAAGTGGGTTATATTAAAGGCGAACAATTAGACACATCTGGCGTTAATTATTTCATTGTTATATCTAAACAAATACGTCAGGATAAATAGTTTTATATTATTTTGTGTATAATACTGTAGTAGCAATGCTGAGAAAATGTTGAGCTAAATAGAATTTACAAATCGTATATGTGAAATATATGAAACAAGAATGAAAATTCTGAAAATGAACATTATAATTGATTTTTTGAAAATGCCTAGTAAATAATCAATGACCGTCGTCGACTATACAACAATTTTTATAAATATTAACATTACGGTGGACATATTTTCAAGAATTTAAGATAATTTTCGCTTGTTTCACGTCAATTGTATTGAACGTAAAAGAAAAGGATAGGATAGAAATTTAATTCCACTAGTAATTGAATTTAATCAATTGAAATAATTTGATATGAGTAAGTAATTTAAAAATGACTAAATAACATTCTTTATACCATTAATCTTATTAAGTTTTGCAAATATGAAGCTTGAAATAAGCGTTAAATATTTTGTATTGATAAAATATCACGTGATAATGTTTGTTCATATGTATTTGTGAACAATAATGAACATTTGTTGAGAAAATACAATGAAGTTATTAGGAAGTTAGTAATGATAATATAGATGACTCAAAAGGAAAATATTTATTTTTATAAATATTATATAGAATGAAAATATTAAAAAATTTAACAAATAGTTCATAGAAATAATCAAGAAACATTCGATGTAATAAAAATATAATGGTAACAATAAAAATCAGTATTTTTTGGTTAGTACAGAGCACAATTAAGCACCATTTCCCCGATTTAAATCCAAACTTTCTACAATTATTAATTATAAAAATATTTATTTATATTCCAATACATATCTTTCCTAGTCGTTTTATTATTTAAAATAACTGAATAATTTTTATTATCAAAATGAATAATAAAATTTTTGCCTTTGATGATTGAATTTTCTATAATACGTTAATATTTACATGAATTCATTTACAAATTATACTTGTTAAAAAGTGAATTGTTTTTGGTTATAAAATAATAATATTATACAAAAAGCAAATACAATTATTGATTTATTCAATTTACTTTAACCGTTTTTCTTTTATGTATTATCAAAGAATTCTTTACAATTTAAATTTTATATAGATATATTAGAAGAGTTAAAATAAATTTTATTTCATTACAAATAAATGATGTGTATATGTAGATTTTGTTTATAACAAAGGTACATATTATTTCAACGTGCAATTATGTTAATAAAGTTAATGTAAATTACGGAATTTTTTTTTTTTTTGTTATGATTTTTCGATACTTTATGTTATATAAAAAGTTTTCTTACAATGACTCGTTGAAATATATATATATATATATATATATATATATATAATATACTGACAGGTACGATTAAAATTTAAAAATTTTCTTTCAAATATATGAAGTTAGTCATGGAAATAATCGGCTGGATATTTATTTGAAATACTTAAATTCTTAGTAAACAATATACAATAATATTTTCGGTACAAGCGTGTTTTCTTTTCATTTAGTTTCTTTTAATTTTCCAATGAGCATTATGGGCATGTAAAATCATTCATTTTATAAAAACATTTATAATATATTACTATCATTATTAATTACTATTACTACTACTACTACTAATACGACTACTAATAAAATTGTTTAAACCGTGTGTCATAGAAATTGAAAGGTACGATTATTGCTCAGTCATTAATGCCAACAAATCTTTAATAAAGATTGAATTTGACATTAAGTAGAGGTTTGTCGAGTAAATTAATTCCTTGAAATGTCTGGCTCAACTGGTCAAAGAAACATTATCAATATTAGCGATCGAGCATATATTATTAACGTTGACACCGCTCTCACCTTTTAACCAAATTAATGCTTAAAACATACTCGCAGTGGATCTGCCCGGAAACCGAGGACGGCTCAAACGAATCCCCCAAATCGCTTTATCAAAACAGTAGCGTCGCTCTGTCGCGTGCAACAACGATGCCGAGCGGATAATCTTGTATTCGCAAAAGGTTCAATTTATATGCATCATTAACTGCATAAAAATGTTGAAAAAATTGTGAGTCGGCGTCACGACCGGACTCGAGCGTCTTGCGTTTCTTCCATCTCAATTAATCGTCTCGGCTTGAAGGCCAATAAAGTCGCGCGCAATATCGTTGGCTATAACGACGTCGTCGTCGTCGTCGTCGTCGTCGTCGTCGTCGTCGTCGTCGTCGTCGTTGTCGTCGCCCCCGATAAGAGATACGCGCGGAGAGTGAACGAGAGGAGGAGCAACAGCAGCAGCCGGGAGCACCGACGAATATTCCGCGATATTCGAGCGGGGGATGCGCAACGCAAATGGCCGCGACCGTCCAAGCCACTACACGTGCTCTACGCGGTTTATCGATCCATCCATGGCGTTACCTTTGTAAACGTGGACCTCCTGTCCTCGCAACCCAGTGCCAGTGCGTTGGATCGCATCGTTATACCGATTCAAACAACCGCAACAACGACGTCGATTACGACGACGATAACGTCAATGATGCAAAGATTTTGTTTCCCGTTCGAAAGGAGTGCGCGCGCGCGCCGTCCTGTTTCTACGACAGGAGTAACAAAGAGTGAGACTAAGTGAGACGGATTATCAGAGATAGATAGATATATATATATATATATATATATAGAGAGAGAGAGAGAGAGAGAGAGAATGATAAAGAGTGGTTGGGGGGGGGGATAAAAAGTCTAGATGTATATCCCGCCGAGTTCGCGTTCTACACTTTACCTGTTCGCGGTTCATTTGTCTCGAGGGGAAGAAGATTAGGGCCACGTGATCGATGTAGTTCCCGATAGCCGTCAAGGCGACCTCGTCGGTCACTGACAGCTGATGGCTTGCTTGACAGCTCCCTCGAGACCGGACGATAGTGACAGTGGCAATGATGGTAGTGGCGGTAGCGGTGATGAAGGAGGAGGAGGAGGTGAGGGGGGGGGAGAAGGAGATGAAGAACGAAGAGAAGCAGTAAGAGTATAAACGAGCGCGTTCTGGAAGATTCGGGGCCGAAGGGAGAATAGTAAAGGGCGCGAGTACTCACACCTCCAGGATGCGGTCGCCCTTGCGTACGCCGGCCTTCTCCGCGGCCCCGTGGGGCAGAACGGCGCTGACGTGTTGGAGGGGCGCGTAGAGCTCGCCGTTGATACTTCGGAGCTGGCCGCCCTCGCTCACCTGGCCGCGCACGTTGAATCCGAAGCCGGTTTCGGTCTTGTAGATGGTGACGCAGCGCGGACCTTGGACCGATTTGGGCTGCTTCGTCGCCGCCGCTGCTGTCGCTCCTATGTCGGACGTCGGTTGCTGGGTAGCAGCCGCGGCGACGATGGGCCCGAGCCTCCCGTTGTTCCCGGCGTTACCGACCATCGCCGTGACGGTCGCGTTCATGGCCGAGCGCGAGCCCTCGGCGCTGCCAATGAGGCTGCGCAGCAGTCGCTACCTAGGGGCGCGGATCCGTCCTCGGCTCTGTGCCCCGCAGTTGGCCAGCACTCCGCAGTAAGCGTCGCAGCTGCGCATCGGCGACCCAGTCTTAAGGGATGTTCTCTCGGTGATGCTCGTCTACGCGATACAGCGGCTGTCTCGTCGCCTGGCGACCGTTGACGCGGCTGTAACGGACACTCGGCACAGAAGCGACGTCTACGACGACGACTACGGCGACGACGACGACGAAGACGACGACGAAGACGACGACGACGACGACGACGACGACGACGACGACGACGACGACGACGACGACGACGACGACGACGACGACGACGACGACGACGACGACGACGACGACGACGACGACGACGACGACGACGACGACGACGACGACGACGACGACGACGACGACGACGACAACAAAGTCAACGACGAGATGGACGACGGAGACGACGACAACAACTATTCCTAATACACTCGCGCCTTTCGGGCTCTGCTTCACTGGCTAAGGCAGCTCTTTACTCGACCCGATGAGTACTTGGTCTGCTCCCCCCTTACGCCCCTCGCACTACGGAACGTCCGCAGCGCCACGGTTCAGTTCTAGTCTTTGACACGCAGGCACTGAGTGGCGCCACCGGTCGCCTCTGCTGCTTCTATACGCATTACGTACCAACGCATCGAGTATACTGCGGTGGTCGATTTGGAGTCCGGAGTTCGGTCGTGCAGCTTCCTCGAGGTTCCCTTCGTCGCCGAGGGGGATTACATAATTTATCTCGAGTCGTCTCGCGCGGACTCGCACAACTTTTACCATTACGAGGCATTCGTTAACCTGTGCATGGCCGATTGATTTTTCGCATACCGATGAAATTCTATTTTATCGGGACGATACTTTTTGTAATTTCATGTAAGCGCGCATGGCTTACATTATCATCAATTCTACATGCTAAGTTCGCATGCTAAGATTATCGTAGTTCTCGATGCTTGCATAATTTCATGATTATTTTCCTGGACGTAAGCAAATCATCTATCGCGAATTATGTTGTTAGATGCTTCGAGGGTAAATCTTATTGATAGAAATTTACAGGTATTATTTACAACATACATCGTTGCTTTAAAATTTTTTATAACTATTGGCTTACATAAAAAAGTTCGGACTATTAATAGTAGAGCCTACGTGAGTGTATTTTATGCAGATTTATCGTTGATATGCAAAACTATTTGATAATCTGTCACTGGATAAAGTTATTTAAATGTATAATCTAATTTACAAATGATGCATATGCGTAGTACGAGGAGCACGATATATGTAGATTTTTTTTTATTTACTTATTGTTTTTTATTTTTAAAGATGTTTTTACAATTAGGGTTTATTTGAGGACAGTAAAATATATTGATAGTTGTAATATTTTGCACACAGCAGCATTTTTAATTATGTTTAATTATGTTTTTGTGCGGTTAAAGTTACCGTACAATAATTCCTGTTTAGAGAATTTATAAAATAGTTTATTATTATTGTTGTTGTTGTTGTTGTTGTTAGTATGCGTATAAAATTTCTGCTTACATAATTGAAATTTTTAGTTCCCTGAACCGTTCTCTGTTGAATGAATAAATGCGGATTATCTAAACAGAAAACTTCTAGCACGGCCAGGCCTCGAATTAACATAATTTTATAAATGATTTACGCTAATGGTATTTTGAGAAATGCAAATGCTGGCATTATCCCTAATAATCATAAAACGAAGATTTTTCTCATGCAATACAATGCACAATTCGTAATCGTAAATAATCGTTCAATTTAACTTTTAGTTACAAATGTATTACAGACATATTGAATTGCGATAAATGCATAGCTACGTGGAAAATCGTACAACGATTAAACGACAAACATTTGAGAATGAGATCGAATCATGCAAGTAAATCTTATTCATTACTTTAAATAATACAATTATTATAATAAATTAAACAAAATAAGCTTGCATAAAGAAAATTAATGCATATTTTGCATTTCAAAATGAATGTTAAAAATCTTTTTATTTAATCCTTTATTCGAGATTTTTCATATGCCACTGAGCGACATCTTGCGATAAAATAACAAATACGTAAACGTAAGCAAAGCAGTCGACGTACGATTACTCGCTACAGGGTGTTTCTAACCTAAGTTGCCGCTTCGTAATTCGGTATCATTTATGATGTCAAATATAAATCGGCGTATCAACAAAAACAAATAATGTCCGCGGATAAATTTCTCGATCTCGATATTAAACAATTGTTCGAACAATATACAATTAAAGATATCGAATTAATACAGAAGCAAATTCAAAATGAGAGCGAAAGAAAGAAAATTGAATTACGAACGTTAGTCGGGTAAGATTTATTTATATGAGTGATTTATAATTTTTTCTTCTTCCAGTACTACGATACCAATGACTTTGTTCTTTATTAAATGTATTAAATTTAAGAGAGCGGTATCGTGATCTGATCCAAGCTGCCGATTCTATAGCTGAAATGAAACAAACATCGGAGTCAATTGTCGAGAGAATAATAAGTATTGAGAAGACGTGTCATGATTTGCAGCAAAAGTACCTTATGGGATTTAAAATGGAAATTGAGCAAATAAATGTGGAGAAGTACTTGCATATCTAATGATTTTCAAATACTTTGCAGTGCTATTTATTATAAATTGTGTCCAATTTTTGCAGAGAACCCAGTTGCATTTCTGACTCAGTAGTTATGTTAATAAAGATTTTGATGGATATTCCAGAACAAATTTGGTCATCGATTGATACAAGAAATTTTTTATTAGCTTCACAACTATTTTTATTGGCTCAACATATTAATTATAGTTTAACTTTTGAAGTTGGAGATTCTAATCTGTCGAATAAATATCCTATTGTTTCAAAACAATGGGGTATCATTAACCAATTTAAAAGTTTAATAATGAATTTTTGCGAAGAGACTCTGCAGTCTATCGAGCTGTCGGAAGAGGTAAAGTTATAACGATCGCTTATAATTGCTGATGAATAACAGTGAATTTATCATTTATTTACATAATCCTTAGGTCGCTGCAAATTGTCTAGCAGCTCTAGTATTACTTGATGGATTAAATTCATCTGACTTATTGAGTAGACTGATATCATTTAGGAGTCAGGCAATAAAATCAATTGCTCTTTCCGAAACTGATCTTACCGTTAAGAACAATATAAAATTATGTTTAAATATTTTAATAAAAACTATTCCTCTTATAAGTAATTGCTTTATAAGTGAGTATTACAAAAAGAAATGAATGAATAGTAATTTAAAATTTTTAAATCGCACATATACATAGTTCACATTTCTTTCATATGTATTTCATATAATAATAATAATTGTGCAATCATACATATTTTATATACATTGTATTTGTACAGAGTATGAAGATAATGAAGACGGACTTGTTTCTAAGCATATAAGTGATATTAATCATAGAGACGCAATATTTCTGTTATCTGAATTTGATCTAGGCGAGGAAATGATTAATAAATATCTTCCTTTAGTTGCGAAAAATCATAAACCATTTGTGGAATTTAAGTTGGAAAAGCTTCCATTAACTAGTATACAAGAAAGTATCGACGCATGGTTTAAATGGGTCGAGCAATTAATAATAACAGAAATAACAAGATTATTAAATTTAGTGACATCTATCAAAGGCATACATAATGTTCGAGAAGAGTGTCTGGCTGTCGCAGTTCCTGAAAATTGGGACTATATTTGGGAATTATATTCATTACCGAGTGTTAATTTTTGGTCCAAATTCTTTCAGCCATTATTAACGGAAAGAGTAAAAGGTATATAATATTTTTATAATTTAAAAATATACTCACCGAGATGCAATACATTATTTTTTCTAACATTACAATAAAACTTTTTTTCCCTTTATTTCAACAGGCATCTTAAAGAATAATCTAGCCGTTTGTTTCAATAACTTTAAGATCGATATTACAGAATTCCTTAATAAAGTGATAGTTGACACATTTCAGTTTCCTGAAAATGACTTAAGATGGTTTTTATGGAACGATACAGATTCAGACATTCCACAGAGATTAACAGAAAGTGGATCTTCTGATAATAAACGTCCCTTACTTATGAAAGTTAGAGGTTTATCACCTAACATACTTAAATTATGTGAAAATTTTGAGAATAATCTCTCTGAAATGTTATCGCATTTGAAGCAATATTTGTATGAATTGGAACAAAGGAATGGTGTAAAAGATGATTTGTTGGAGGCTGATATTTATTTGAATTCACTTAAATTTTCTGACCGTAGCCTTGTTCAAGAATATTTACAGGCAGAAAGTAGAATAGTCATCGAAGACTTCGTTGCTTATGCGAAAGAGGAATTGACAGTCGAAAATCCAAAATGTGGACAACAAGATGTCAATGCTATTGTACTTGCGAGATTACTCCAAGCAATATCCATATTATGCCCGAATTTTAAGGAATGCTTCACAATTTCTAGATCAACAGGATTTACATTGACGAATATAAAGTGGCAAGAAGTTTGCGATAGACTTAAGCAGGAAAGTACTTCGATATGGTCTATTTGGGCTAAGTGCTTTAAAAGGACAATATCACATCATCGAAATAACAGTCTGATTAAAGAAAATATTCAGGAATTACGTATTCATACAGTTATACTCGAATGGGAGAAGGTTATGATTGAAGAAGAGGCTGAAGAAGGCAAAAGAATAGAATCGGAAATTTTAGTACCTTATCAACCTGCTGTCCATTTACAAAAATTTTTATCCGCAGTCTGTAGAGATTTAAACAAAGCTTTACCCCATACAATACCTAAGTACGCATGTATAATATGTTTAGAATAATTTTTAATTGATATCGATGAAATGCTAATTTTTTATTTCTCTCTCTCTCTCTCTCTCTCTCTCTCTCTCTCTATCTCTCTCTCTTTAATTATTTCAGAACTGTTCTAAATGAAATAATCAATAGTATTGTTTTAGAATTATTTGATTATTATTATAGTCTATCGACAAATTTAGATATTCGACAAAAACAGGCGATACAAATACTATTTGATGTTAAATATATCAGTTTGCTTATGGTTCCACGTGATAATAAATCAATTATGGAGGAGTCGAATAAAGTTTCGAATGTCGTTATCGCTAAAATTGATCCATTTGATTTCGATGTGTTCTCGCCATTTATTAACACGAACGTGAAGAAAAGTGTACAAAGGTCATTGGTTGGTTACAAAGGCAATGTAATATTCATTTTAACTAACCCGAAATGTATTACAATAATCATTTATTTTCATGCGCTAGTTAATATTTGGAAATCTGGTACCACATATGGAGCAGTTACATTCAATATTGGGCGCGAGAATCGAACATAGCGAGGGTTCCAAATCCGTGAAAGATCCACCAGGAATACTTGCACTTTGTACTGGTGCTCCTTGGTTCCCCTCTCTGACCATCACCGCGCCCGTACAAAATTTACCAACTGTTGCACCACCACTTCCAGACAAAGCACAGGTAATAATTTCCAGTCATTTATCATCTAATCTTTCACCGCGAGATAAATAATTTATATCTGCACACATCGTTACAACATCATTCAACAAGGTATATTTTTTATAATTAGATGGGCCTATTTTTTACTTCATTTTAGATGTTGGGTATGTAGGAATACGGTAAGGAATGGTGTGACTTGATCGGATTGCTCAAAATGCATGTAATTGTAGCTATTTTGAGTTGTGATTGTAAATAAAGTTGATAAATTATAATCTCGATTAATTTAACAATTTTTCCATTTAATTTGTGTACGATCTAATATAATTAATACCAAGTCAATTTTGTGTAAGAATTTGGAATACATCATTTTTCGTTTGTTATTACAGCAGAAAAAGAAGCAAAGCAGTAAAGAGCACACCCGTACTGATTCGACGGGTTCTACGATAAAATCTGGAGCGGCTGCATTTTTCGGTGCTATGGGAAGCGACTGGTTTGGTACAAGCTAGTCTATCTATTTTTATTTATTGTTGATGAAAATAGTATTTTATGTTATACTATACTTGTATAAAGAGCGACAATAAAAAAAATTGTTTTTAAAAAGTTAACTACGCTTTTCCCCATCCACGTGTCGTGTTCTAAATTCTAATCCATTATGAAATATTCTTCACAATAAAGATTTATTCGCCTGCAATTTATACGATGTCCTTTGATGAATATACGATGAAAGATTATGAAAAAATACACTTTATAAAATCCTTATTAGTTCATGGTATTAAACTTCAATATGTCGATGAAGTCTTCGTTTTGCTTTCAAAACAGACAAAATACAAGCTAACTTTCATCGATATCATCTGTACAATTATTATACTACTGTAATACATACATTTTCTTGTAATGAATTCCCAATCATTAGCTTTATTTCCTTTTTTTGATTTTTATTAAATTATTCGAAGCTATGGCTAAATATGTCGAGTAAATTTATTGAACAGTTTTTATATACTTTTGAGCAATCCGATGAATATTCGGCTTCTTCAATTTCTGCATCGAGATTTTCCTTTTGCGAAGACGAAGGCCTGGAATAAAAACGATACATTTCTATTTTTCAATGTATATACTTCTTTGTTGAACAAGTAGGCAAATATGTAAGGAGTAAATAGTATTTATTTCTATAATTAATACTGTATTCATGAATTGAAAGCAATTATGATTACAGAGGTGAGCTGGATTTTATTGAATTTCAAACGTAAACTAATTGTATTGATGTCACTCGAATATTAGCATGACATTGTTAGCATATATTTTGTTAAATTTCTGTTCACGTAAATATATACATTTTTTTTTTTTTTTTTTTTTTTTTTTTTTTTTTTTTTTTTTTTTTTTTTTTCATATAGAGACATTGCAACACATTAAAAACATATTTCAATATTGCGATTAATGATTTTTTTTTTTTTTTTTTTAATAAACTTTCTATTACATGCATTAAAAATTATTACTTTGAAGTTCAAAGTTAAATTTCTGCAATTTGTTTTTAAAAAAGTACATGTACATTACATTAAGCCATAATTGTAATCTACAGTGAGAATTTGCGTTGACGTATTTTCTGATGGGAAATCTCTTTTCATTTTATTACTGCCGGGTCGAAAGTAATGTTGTAGCATGAAAAGCAAATTTTAAAAGTTTTTGTTTGTTTATTGAAAATTGCTTATGCTCATTTAAGAAACAGACGAATAAAGAATAGTTTTAATAAAGCTATTGTAATTTTCGGTAAATTATAATTAAATTTTATACTTTCAGCCATCGATTATCAATAAAATCGCAATCAAATTAGTAATTATTTAATATTTGATATTGATAATGTCAATACTGCCATAATCGCACAGTGAGCATTATATTATATTCTTAATTATTAGTGATTATGTAAAATTTATTTATTAGAGGGATTTACTTACGTAAATACTATGCGAATAATATCACCCACAAGGCCATTTTCGACAAATGGGAATTTTACAGATTCACATATCGTACGCAGTAGACACGCCCTTCCTGGATATCCGTTACTGGAAACAGCATTCGTATTATAAATCGTTTTAGAGAAAAAATTGCAGCCAATCACGTTATAAATGAAAATATTATTCTGCCATTTTTTAAATCTCGTGCATTAATGTAATTTATAAATATCCTTATACAAATGTCAAACAGCAAGCGTGGCTTGAATTTTTATAATTTTAAGTATTTTTTAAGCATTTACCATATCGAACATCTACTTCAAATTATTTTTCTTTTTTAATTGTGTGTTTTTTTTTTTCTTTTTTTTTTTTTTTTTTTTTTTTTTTTTTTTTTTATTAATGCTGATTTATAATAATTCATATCTTGTGTCATAATAAATATAAAGCGAATGATATCCATCTGGTACTTTAAATACATGTTCATCTAAAAATCCACTTTCACCTTTTCGAAAGAATATACTATTTTAAATATCTCGATAAATCGAGTGCATAAAATTCACTTATATTTAAATTTCATCAAATTAATGACATTGACATCCAATGTTTTATTCACTATATATTGATAAATTTATTTTTTCTCATATAGTTGTTGTTTGCAAATGTCCTATCGTTGCTTGACGTTTTTAAAGTGTGAAATGTAAATTAAGATATTATATCAGTTAAAAAATTGTCAAAAAACAATTTTTCATCTTTCATATAACCTTATGTATTAATAATGAACCGTATAATTATTTTTTGATAATTACATCATAATATCACTTTTCAAAATCACGAACACATACATACTTCATTAATTAGCCCATTCTCAAATACGATTATACAGTAGGTAAAATATTTATATACTATATTACTCGAGTATGTACTACGTACTTCGATAACAAAAATCGGGACATTTTATTTTATGTTTGATGTGATAGTGATTTCAATGTATATTAAAAAAAAAAGAAAAAAAAAACAAACAAACAAACAAACATATATCTCTGTAAAAAATTTTTTTGAATTTATATTTATTTGTACTTGATTCAATCAAAATTGAATTTCGCTTAATAATTATTAGATGATACCGATTATCAGACATGCCATGGTGAAATAATTTAATAATTTTACGAAAATGATAGTTTTATTTACAGACATTCCATTATTATCCATTCGTCCATACAAAATTATAATTGAGTTTCAGTTACGAATTGAGGATTTTATTATATATATATATATATATATATATATATATATAACTTTGAAAGTATTTACTTAAGAATATAAGATTTTTAGTGATTTTATTAAATAATAATAATAATATATGTATATATAGGTAACATGATGAGAGGATGATTAAAATATTATTGTCGTTTCATAGGCTTCATTTTATTAACATATTCATATCAAGAAAATTTTCTAATAATAAATTTTCATATGTATCATTAAAATTAGTTAATAAATGCAAATAATATACTAAATTTTGAAATAGAAGACTTTAATCGATTTAACTCCTATTAACTAAGTACTAGTATTTAATAGCATTGTTCAAAGATTATGAGACATAATTAATTGTAAGTTATAGTGTCCCCAGTGTCTATTAATTTTAATTGTAAAATAATGCACGATGATGTAGCTTGTTGATGTAGTAGTTTACTTTTGCAGATTATTTTTCTTTTCTAGATTTAGTATAATGAAATTTTACATGTATTGAAAGCTTAACGGCCAATGTGAAAAACAGCTTCGAGCATGAAGGCCTTACAAAACGTTCAAACATTAAAACAGGCGGAATAATCGAAGAATATAAAAAAGAAAATAAAGAAGAGAATAGTGAAAAGCATTTAATGAATGACATTGAGGAATTAAGTTGTTAAAAGAAACAGCAATAAACTCGAGAAAAGTGATTTTCCGTGATTGGGATGAGTCACGAGGCTTCAAACTTTGATAATAGAAAGTGCTATAGAAATAAAATCTATTGACTTTACCTTTCAAGCTTACTTTCAATAACGTTATAAAGTAAGCGTCTGTCGATGCTCCGCTTTTCCATGTGAGTGTTTTGGATAATGACACTGTTTATGGTTGGTATTCCGTAGTTCGCCTCGATGTAGAAAGACTGAGAAACTGACTTATCTGGTATGTCAATGGGTATAGCCACAGCGAAGAAAATCTAAAATAATATACGCGCGAGTATGAAAATTATGTTCATTAAATTTACAAGCGACCTTACATCCATAATTTCTGAATTTTTAATAATAAGAATAGCTAATATTATTGGCATTATTTGTGAAAAACTGCGATTTCACAACACGTCATGAGCGATCCGTTAGTGCATACTTTTGTCACTGGCATGTTTTCTCATTTCTTTTGCATTTCGTGAATTGCGCTTTGCATTGGGAATAAGTGTGCGTTTGAAAAGTCATACTCACCCCCATATTGGAGCCCTTTGTAAAAAGCAGTGAACGGATTTTCCGGCTGAGGTCGATCGTTAGATTCGTCTTATTGCCGGAGGCGCATCGCCAATACAAAAGTAACCACAACCCTAATATTGCTACTTTTGTACTTCTAATATTATATAATTTATTAGTAAATGTCTTGCTGGCTTCTGTTTTATTATAATTTTCATATAATTATTGATAATTATTGTGAATTATATTATATGATATATATAAGTTTTTACATAAAAGGTTGGCTTTTCATTTTCAATTGTCAAACTGTTTCATCCAAGGGTCTTGATAAACAAGCATTTTTTTTACAAAATCTTAATAATTTCAATACTATATTTAAATGTTTATTTAATTTTTTACTATTAGTACGGATATTTCATTTTCATTTTCATGAAAACAAAAAAACAAAAAAAAAATTCATATACATATTTTTAAATTTACAAGTTTTTGCGTAAAATAAAAATGGCTATAATCAACTTTTAATATGGATATTATGAATTGATTAACTGTTGGAAGAGAGTCAACTGAAGTACGAGCTAATTAAAAGTAAAAACACACAAAGTTTAATGAAGACTTTGTAATTAATTTGTAATTAAGTAAATAATCAACTGTCCCATGAGCTAATAATGTTACAATATTACCTCTTGGCGAAACTATATTATTAGTAACTTGATTATAGTAGTATAATTACATACTTTACACGAATTGCACATTGCTTCCGAGTGAGGCATTTAAATTGTGGATATTTAGTGTATGATGTACTTACGCTAGTTGCATTGCAAGAACTACAGGGAGATACGTTTTAAAGCTAAGGAAATTCATTAAAGAAATGCAAATGTGCAATTGCTTGCTGCATATAAGGAGACAAAGGTGCGAATATGTACATTTAATACATTTCATTAGAACAAATTAGTTGCAATTTGAATAATTAGTTCTATATTACCACGAGTAACTAAAATAATTTGTTTTAAAAATTCATATATATATATATATATTATGTGCACTAGTGTAAAAATATACGTAATAAATTTTTACCGAGCGTCATAATTATGCTAAATATGAATTTATTTATTATTAATTGAATTTCCTTTATCCATAAATTCAAACTATACAAATGTGCTTTAATTTATTCATAAAATATTTAGAAGTTTTAATTACTTTGATTGGATTTAATTATCTCATTAGAGATACTTTATAAGATATATACGTATATCATATTCAATTCTTTTTCCATTTTGTTGTTAAAGTAATTGCAATTAATATACCTACCACTCAAATATTATTTGTACTGAAAATGTTAGCATAGAATTTTCTTCTCGCTTCTTCGTATTCTTGTAAATAAGTAAATAAGATAATAAAGTAACCAAAGTACTGTCAAACGTATAAACTGTACATGTACATAGTGGCGAACTTCGTAAAATAAAGTAAAATCTTTAGTTCAAAGTTAGTAATTTACCCGTGTTTACAAAATTCTTATAATAATTTTACAAATTAGTATTTGAATATTATTAGCTATTCATATAATTCTTCAATAGTATAAATAATTATTAGAATTTTTTTAATTTTAATTTGAAGAATAATTTGGAAAATAATATTAACATTTATATTGATATCGAAGTTTTATTATATTTTTATTATCTTATAGAAGTTCATAGGGCCTGTATTTTATATGTAACAATTACAGAATAGCAAACTATATTAAATGTTAAATGAATAAAATAGTAAGTTATGTAATTTACGAATAAATTTATTCATTATTTAAGCAAGTAATTATTTTTGAAATATCTGGAGTTATACCAATTATTATTTGTCAATTATAATATTTATTAATCTTCGGGGACGAATTAATTATATTTGATACTCTATTTTTTAGGAAATAATAATATAGAGAATGTACTATCGGGTATTATACACACACACACACACACATTGGTAAATTGATTACTAGACGAGGGCATTGAATCTATGAAAGCTAGTAGAGTTGATAAGAATCTTATAGAAATACGAGGTGTAACTAATATGATTGAGTATTATTAATATCTTCATCATTTAAATAGTAATTTAGGGATCGTTAAATTTCGAATAATTATAAATTCCACAGACAAATTGAAATTTGTGCAACGTACTTGTTTTTTAAAATTATTGCAATTCATAATAAATTGAGTATACTTGCTTTTTGATTGATTTTTTTTTTTTTTTTTTTTTTTTTTTTTTTTTTACGTTTTTTCACATTGATTGCCAGTAGCAGCTTGTGACGTGCTGAAAGGAATGAGAAATGAGAAAAAGATTAATTTCACATGAAATGTATTGTAGCACTAGGAAGCGTAAAGCCGTAGAAATTCTAATAAACGATCAAAGTAGCATTAATAATATTATTATGGAGTAATGTTCTTCGCGGCTAATCTTGTGCGTAGCGTTTTTCCAAACGAACAAGACACATAAACGAATAGTCGTTAAATTACACAATATGTTCGTATTCGCATTTGTTGTAATAATAGAGTTTGGACGAAAATTGACATGTACGATGGTGGAACCATCGCTTTTTGTGGAGGTCGTAACGTACAGAGGATGAGGAAAGTTCTCGCGAATGACTAATTGTACGTATGTAGCGAGGGCGCTGGGCGAGGGAAGCTCGAGGGCGTCTGCATTCTGGATTGCATTGGGCGGGGTGTGCTGAGATTATAAGGGCGAGTTAGAAGTAATGAAAGGAGTAAGGTTCCTTGGGCGGAGGTTCCTCGTGTTGATTTCGACGTGAGCAGAGGCACCCCCGCCGAGTAAATCATGATTTCCCGGCTCTGACGCAGTACGTGACAATGCCAGCGCTCGGGGTCTTTCGTATTGTGATTTGTGACGCTCTAAGGGAGAAATGCCGGCATAAATGGAATTCCGATCGGATCGTCTCTAACCGAAATTTTGAACAATTGAAGGATTGGGGCTGGGTGGGGCGGCGGCGATATACCCTTCCATGCGCGCATAATTAAATCGCGACGCTACCCACGGCTACGGCGACTCCACGACTCGTTCGTTTGTCGCTTTCCAGATGGCGACTCCTGCCCACGGATTCAAGCCCGACGCGCCAGAGCCCCGCCCATGTGATTTAAACGTCTTCGCGCGCATGTGCCTCGCGCAGCCCTTTTTGCGCCGGATTAGCCGCCGGCCCATGGCCTCGCCGACCGGGACAAATGTACGTTGTCAGTGCGTTCACGTACTAATAGCGCATCCGCGAGGCCTGCGATCCGCTCGATCGCCCTTACCCCACTCCAATGGCGCCCGCCCAACATTTATTTCTTTTTCACTTCGCTGGATTTGCCGCACCCTTCGCTGCCACAGCAATACCACCGCCCCTCCCACCTCATCCCACGCCGCGACGCGACTACGGTGCCTACCCTCCCAGCCGTCGTGGCCCGCCGCCTTATATCTCGCACGAGCGAAATATCTTATTAAAGTCTTGCTGCTCGGCTCCTTCTTCTCTCTCTCGCGCCGAGCCTAAAAATACAATTTTTAAAACCCTCCCCAGCCCCACCCCCCGTCTTTTACAGCCACGTACGCGCTTAGACCGGCTGACAAACAAACGTAAACGCGAGCACGTCGCCTCTGACCGAATATTCCATTTGATTCTAATTCTCTTACACTTGAATTTTGAATTTAGAGTTAGAGGTGCCGAATCCTTGCCTTTCTCTCCATTCATTTTATTTTTTTTATTTTTATTTTTGCCTTTTTCACTTTTTTAACGTCACGCAGATTATCGTGTGGCTATTGATCAAGACGCTTAACTAACTCATTATATAGATTATGGAATATCGAAGAATGTAAAATACCTCTAATCAGTGCTGTTTCATTCAGAGAGAATCGTTTATTCGAACTTTATCGTTCATGTCATTGGGACTGTGTGTAAATTGCCCTCTTTATTATTTGTAAGTACAGGTATATCCGAGAATGAATTTCACTTTACTCGAGCGTGAAGAATTTTCATCGTGCTCGTTTTTTTTTAAATATTAGAAACCTATAAGAAGCTGCTTTTTAAACAGCATTCATGCAACGAGAATAGTTTCTCGACAATTTCTATTATACATTATTTTTACATGTATGAGCTATGTTTTCTTTTTGTTATTATTATTATTATTATTATTTTTTTTTTGTTTTTTTTTTGTTTTTTATACCTAACCATTTATCGAAGATAAAGGTATCATTTTTTATGAATACGGTTCAATGTATAGGTGAGTCCGTATAAGTTCGCAGGAGCAAAAGTCTTGCAACGAGTTTAAATACATTTGATGAAGCTTTTTTTGTACTTTTTTCGTTTCTTTATTTATTTATTTATTTATTTATTTTTTTTTTAATTTTTGTTTTGTTTGTTTGTTTTTTTAAACAACCTATAAATTTGAGTAAAACTTTAGTAGGCTGACTGAAGCCAGACATCAGTCAGTCTTTATCAAGCTTCAACCAGGCATTCGCTCGACCGATTTTTCCTAAACGCGCTTACACAAATGTGAGAAACGTGTTTCTCGAATGAATTATTTCCATGTAGCATAATATACATTACAGGCAAACTATACATTTTTACCGAAATATCGAGAGTAAAAATATGAGCGAAAACATTCTTCTTTGTAAATTAATTCTTGGTCAGTGAAATAAAATTCAGACTTTTTATGGAAATATTCTATAAAAATACTCAATTCTTGATAATATTTTAAAGAAATTGCTATCGTATAATACAAAAAGCTTCTCAATGCTCATATAAATATTCAAGTATTTTTACAATCGTGTCGCGTAAAATTTCGAAAGAGGTTGTTGCGACAGTATTTATTTCATTTTTATTAAAAAAAAAAAAAAAAAAAAAAAAGAAAAGAAAAAAAAGAAGTGGTAATTAAAACTTTTTAATTAATCAAGAAATTTCGAAGAATTTACATAAGTTTTTAACCTTACTCAGATAAGTTATTGAGATAAATTTGAAAAATGGATTTGCACAGATTTCAATTTAGATTTACTACCTGAAGCCAGATATTGTAAACAGTGTATGGTTTTGCTATCGATTGCAATCTTTATATATTTTGTAATAATTTGTAAAGTTAAGTGAATATAAAACTTTGAGAGAGGCGGATTTAATGTTTTTAAAAAGTTTTCGAAGGCTATTACAACGTAAGCTAGGAACTATATCGTTTTGAATGAATAGAATGTAAAATATAAGAGATTCGATTTATTATTACGTAGTTTCATTTTATTAAACCAAAAAAAAAAAAATCGGATGCACATACGCATATGCGCAAATATGCGTACGTGCGGGCAACAGCGCGCGCGCGCGTGCTTACGTGCGTGCGTGTATGCATGGGTGCGTGCGCATGTATTTACGAAAATAAATGGTATGAATGAAAAAATCACTTTTCACGTAATCAAAATTTTCATTTCATGATATTGAAATGAATAACGTAGATTTTTCATGAAAATCATACACAAGTCGATTGATTAAATTCTCTAGATCGATTGCTCTTTGCTTGTGGCGATAAGCGAGATGAAATTTTAATTTTCGAAAGTGCTGTTAAGCAACTGGAATAATTAATTATTTGTAAATAATTCGTTTTATATACATGTTTTATCTTAAATACGCATTAAGGTAATCCATTGATTGGAGAGAAGTATAGCTGGCATGAAAATGCTAAGACAAAAGTCAAGCTTGAAATAAGAAGTAAAACCAGTGGCGCATGAACTGGAATCCCGCTCAACTTGAAATTATCGATTTTTTAATGGACATTTGACAAGAAGAATACTTGCTCTTGGGAAGTTACGGAGGA